TAACAGATGTATTGGAGCATAAGTTTTCATGGGCAAAGACCCACTTTGTCAGATGACATGCATCTGACAAAGTGGGTCTTTGCCCACGAAAGCATATGCTCCAATACATCTGTTAGTCTATAAGGTGCCACAGGACTCCTTGTCGCTTTTATAGTATCTAATCCATGCATCATCTACTGTATCCGTTCCTTATTGCTCTGATCCAATTCCCATTGACTATCAATGGTAAAACTCCCATAAATTTCACAGGTGGAGGATCAGGTCCGACGTTGGCTATCTGTTCCATGAAACATCTTATCAATATGCTTTCTCGACACCCTGCTGATCACTGTATGCACACAGCTGCTCTAGGCACCGACCACAAACTGCATGGATTGTATAGCTGCTCCACACAGTGTTTGTGTGCTTTTTGCATCATCCATCTGTTCCATAGCTCCTTTCTCTGCTTCATTCACAGCCATCTGCTCAATGAGTCATCCAGCTGTTCCACGTATTACTTATACATTCTATACATCACCTTCTAGCCTCATGAATCATGTCTCTGAGGAGCTCATGCATATATATTGTGCAATATCCTAATCTAGGCATTATCTTTCTGTTCCTAGTAGGGATGTAAAATCCCATTTAACTGGTTAATTGATTAAAGGCCCAGGTTGCGGCAGTCAGGGGCTGCTCCAACTCTGCAGTGGCCCCTACCTGTTTACCTTAAACCAGGGCTACTCAACACGCGGCCGGTGAGTGGGATCCTTTGAAGATGGCCTCCACTGGGAACATGCTCCACAATGGGGAGGCGTCTCCAAGGTGGGGTGAGCATTGAAAGACGCAAGTGGACGGGCTGGCTGGAACAGATGGATACAGGGTGTTGGCATTTCTAGCCCATAGGGAGGAGGTGCCGGGAGCGCTGAGGTGTTATGTGAAAGAAGCTATTTGCATATATATTTGCATGTATATGCAGCCACACTTGAATTGCAGCCCTCGGCATGTGCTGTGAGTATCATTGTGGCCCCCGGGACTTCCAAAGTTGAGCAGCCCTGTCTTAAGCGGTAAACCTCACCTGTTAAGTTTCATCTCATGCATCTGTTTCATAAATCACCTAAGGTATTTTTCCCACTGACTATCTCTGCTTTCTATATTGCCTATCTGCTCAGTATACTGTCTTTCTCTTCTACCCACTCTTTCTTAAACCTGTCATATCTTTGGTCCTCAGACTGCTTGTTCTGTTCCTTGAATCATCCAGGAATTGTCAGCAGTACAACATCTTGTGCTCTGTATACTATCACCAACATAAAGAATAAGCTTCTGGCAGCAAACTATCCCTCTCTTTCTAATGA